TCCCTTAACAAGAACCCAGTAATAAGGGGCCGCAGAGCTACCATGCAAATGCAAATTTCCCATCCCCCCCATGCCTGTTGCGGTCATGCAAAGGATGGTTTCGTGTGAGACGTGCTAAGAGCCCATGGCCGCTGCTCATGGGCTCTCACTGTATAGGCTGAATTACGAGCTACTAGTATCATTCTCTAGGGCCGCGCCAGCCCAGGTCAAAATTCTAGAGCATGCACCCGGCATGTTGCCGCCGCTCCTGCAGGGACTTCCAATGCCAAGGTGTCGGGTCTTGCTCGAGTGCTGCAGGTTGGACTGTCTCCTCGACATGCTTCGGAGCCCTTCAAGCTCAGAAGGGTCCGCAGTTGATCTGGAAGGACCCCACGCATACGTCCTCTTCCTTGGTCTTGTCTTCAGCTTCGCTGCCACAAGCACAGAAAAAGCTACGTACTGTTTGTCAGTCCGGCGTCGTAGCTTTCCAGGCTCTCTGGCGTCCAACCCATCTGCGACAAGGGCTTTGCCAAGCCGAGCCTGGAGTTGCGCCGCCCTCTCCCTCTCCGTGAATGTCCCCCCTGGCCCTTCCGTACGCCTCAAAATTGCAACCTCAAGCACAGTGAAGCACTGCAGATGACGCGAGGCTTCTCTCAAAAATTTGGTCTCGAGCAAAGGGGTGAGGTTGCTAGCTGGCTACCTGCTATTTACTCCTGAAGTTCTGCTGACGGACTGGCCTGATGAGGTTTACCAGGCTCCAGTCCCACCACTCGAAATCCACCCAGTCAGTGTCCTGTCGCTCGCAGCGGTGGAACGTGTAGGCTTGGGGATTGAATGTGTGGACGAGTTGGAGACAGCTGAGAGGTGGCCCCTGCATCCCCAGCCTGCCCAGCAACACAACTCCGAGCCGTCGACTGCCGGAACACCAGACGCATGTTTGGAACCTGGCAGCGTCCTCTTCGCAGCAGCAGACGGCAGGATCAGCATTCCAGTTGTGGCCCATGCCTTAGCTTCGGAGGGGGGGGGACCAGAAATGCAAGTAAATACAAGCTGCGATGTGCTTTCACTCTGGCATCTGGGCCCACTGATGTTGAACCCCATAGTTAGTGGCCCAGTGTTCAGTACGACTATAGTTTACCACGGGTTGAGTCCCACGCCTCCGAGACATGTAGGAACCGGTCGCTGCCGTCACTAACAGCAGTCAGAAAGAAGAGCAAGAACAATGAACATCAATGAAGCAGATCTCGAACACGAACGGAAGTCGCGCGACGAAGACGACGACGACGACGAAGACGACAACGACGACGACGACGAGACACGACGAGAGTGGTGACCTGAAGACGGTGCCTTTGTGCTGGTGCTGGTGATGGCTTCGTCAAGCTGCGGCCGGCCCAGTAGTAGTCCCCGAAGAAGGAGGACTGGTCGTTGGCTGCCAGGCCCCGGTAGTGTAGGTAGTTCCGGAGGAAGGAGAACCTCGGCCAGTCACTTTCATCTGCTAGAAGTGGCCGCTCCGGCAAGCTAGGACTCACAGAATCGGCTTCTGAATTCCTCGAACGCTGGCAGGGGTGGCCAAGAAGCTTCTGCGCCCTCCACATGACCTGGGCCTGTTTGGGATTCGGCAGCTTCGTGGGATTGTTGCAGTTCCGGGCCACCTGCGCACGGAGCTTTGTGGCCAGATTCTCACCCTGTACCAAAAACAAGATGTATGTAGGAACCGTATACACCGCCTGTAGCCCAGCGCTCCACTCTCCGATGTAGAGCCTGTACCTAGGCTGGGCTCACAAGCGAGGACCTCCTGCAGACGAGCTTCTCAACATTGTGGGGCTTCTGTCATATGTCCGGGCACAGAGTTCTACCCATCCAGGGACCCAGTCTGTGAACTTGATCCCATGTTCAGACTGGAGACCCCTTGTCCAGGAGCCCCATCTTCATGAAGCCCGACCAGGCATGCTGCTCGTACTGATGCGTGGTGTTGGGCACGTTGGCCTTCAAGGGCTTGTGCTCCCAAACTTCACCCTCCCATTTAAAGGCTTGCTTGGGCTTTGCCACTGGGCCGCGATGGACCGCGGGACGGGTTCAACCGATTTGGCACAGAGCTGTGCGCTGAACGCGCTAAGCCACCGGACCTCACACACGCAGGGCACGGAGATATGACTTTCGTCATCGCCGTAGACGTTGCACATGGCCGGCCAGTTGAAATAGTGATGGATGTCCAGCAACCAGCGATCCTGAGTGGGTCCGAAACTGCGGCAGAAGCTATGCACCGAAGCACTGAAGCCCATGAACCTCCACTTCATGTTGCCTTCCCTTGCCCGTTCGGCGCCAAGGCGCCTTGAGGGGCGAATAAGGGCCCAGGAGGTCCTTGGAGATCGTGGTGGTGTTGTAATTCTCGGTGCCATCGTTGATGCCAAAGCCCACCTCAAGAGTCACGACCCCGGGCCCCAGGTGGCAGGCACTTCCACACTGAAATGTTGAAAGCCCTAGCTTCCATGCTTAAATGTGGGACACTTCAGAAGCCAAGCCCAAACAAAGGCAGCCTAGCAGCGTCGTCCAGAAATTGTGACATGACGGTTGCCAGTCCCACGGTGGCAGACCGAACTGCCTGCTGTTTCGCATCGTGTTGCAGAAGATCAGGTTCCTCAGCCGCGTTGCTTGAATCGCTCGTGGGGCCGCGGGGTGTGGTGCTGACCCTTCTCCCAGGTAGCGAATTTCTGGTCTGTCTGCGCCACATCACGCCATGGCAATATGACGTGGTAGAGTGATCCAGGCCGAGGTACATTGAGGACCTCGTAGGCCATGATGGCCCCAGGCATCTGATCGTTGATGAACCTCAAGCACCAAAACAAGCCACGCAAAAGTCCTGAAGACCGAAGTGCAGAAACGAGCGGAAAGCAAACCCGGTCCAAGAATGGAAGGTTAGAAGCATGGGCCCCTAATATGGACCCTTAGGCCTTTTTGGGGACCCTCAAGGGTACATATAGGGTATATAGTAGGTATATAAGGGTCCCAGGGTTAAGGGCCCATACTAGGGGCCCATGGGTTCAACGTTAGAAAGAAGGCTTCTTATTGAAACTTGCAACCTTAACTTATTAAGTGCGGGGCTTGATGTAGGGAACCACGCGGTCCAGGGCGATCTTCCAGTAGACATCTGCCCAGGTCTTCCCGTCCTTCCCAAGACAGGACGCAGCAAGCAAACTCCAGCAGGCGGAGTCAACACCATACCATACCAAGAAAAGCCGTAGCATAGCATAGCATAACATAAGAAAGCCATACTATAACATACGCTCCTCCCCCCATAACTCGCAGAAGCCCTGCGAGTCCGGCTAACGTTAAACCCCCGGCCGCGGCCTTTTCCCGGGTGGTCGGATAGGGGCTGCCCCCTGCGTTCGAGATGCCGTCTTCAGCCAGTCCTTCTGGCAAGATGCTTCTGTCTATCTGTAGTGAGGAATTAGCTGAAGACAAGATCTCAGGACGCATTACGGATATTTCGACAGGTACGTTGGCCGATTGAGAGCTTAGCGCTCGCGTCAAAAGCTGTTGACGATGGCTTCAGTCACGATCATCTGCCAGACCCGTACATGCAGATTCTTTCTTGGTTGCTTCCTCTTCTTGACCAAGAATCCACGGTCCAGTGTCTAGTGAGTCTAGTTAGTTCTGCAAACCCCGCCTTCCCAGAAGTTCGGCGCTTCCGGGGCGCACTCGATGCCGGCGTAGGACTGGAAGGGCGTGCTGCAGCCAGGAAGGGCGTGCATGTCGAGCATCACCTGAGAACCCCGGATCTTCCACAAGAGCGCTCGGTAACCTCAAAGAGGGACCCTTCCGTGCCAAGCGCCAACCCAAACCTCTCTCCTTCTTCTTAAGAGCATGGGGTTCGAAGTGTTCGCTTAGGGCTGAAGTCTTT